ACTCACACACACACCATCTCCACCCACCACTGTCTGCACTTAGCTTGCCCTTGAGGTCCTCATGCCAAGGTCACTAGTGTGTCAGCACATCAGGCAACACCCTCGGGGAACCAGCAAGGTGCTCACAATCACTGACGAAGGGCAGCCCTTGTCAACTTTTATCTCTGCTGCCCCAACCGAGGCTCCAGTACCCAAGAGAACACAGGGAACGATTACCCCTGCGCTGCAGGTCAGCTTGCAAAGCCAACCCCCAGCCTGGGAGAAAGGCAAGGCAAGGATGAGTGAAACAGGTTCACAGAGGGCAGGGACTGACCTAGGTCAGGAGCAGAACTGAGACTGGAACCTGGCTCTTCTGATCCCAGGGCCAGGAACCGTCATAGCCCCTTTGCTGTCTCACAGAGCTCCAGCCAAAACATAATTATTCTTATTTTTTTTAAAAAGGAACCAAACACAAAATTGCACATTGCAATTGTGTCTGCCTGCCTCAGGCTTCAAACCACCTTCCTGGCCCTGGGAGAGAGTTGGGTCTAGCAAGAGGGAAGGAGGGAGTGGCAGGGGCAGGGAGTCGAGCACCCCTGGGCTGGGGTAGATACAGCGAGGTCCAGCGCAGCACAGCCGAGGGAGGTCAGGAACCAGGGGGTGGCCCGCACCAGGTACTCAGGCCTCCGGTCATGCGCCACAATGGCCGAGGCGTAGAGGAGGCCAGCCAGGGCCAACAGGAGCCGGGCCCACAGGTGGATGGAGGGAAACGTTTTACCCCGACACTGGGCAGAAAGAGGAAAGAGCTGGGCAGGGAGGAACACTGGCACTGTCCCCGCCTGCCTTAGAGCTAAGACCCAGGGCCTGGTGGCAGAGCAGGTTGGAGGGCAAACCCTCTGCCCACAGCAAGTCCCCCAGGGTGCACTTATTGTCCNCCTGCCTTAGAGCTAAGACCCAGGGCCTGGTGGCAGAGCAGGTTGGAGGGCAAACCCTCTGCCCACAGCAAGTCCCCCAGGGTGCACTTGTCTGTCCTGCATTAAATTATCCTGCTTTGTGTTTCTGTGTCTTCCATGAGACTGAGCTTCCTGAGGGCAAGCACAGTGTCTCAAGTCACATCTGTATCCCCCCGGGACTGGCCAACGCAGGTGTCTCCTCACCCTGGATGCCTGCAAGATACCTGCCAACAAGATGAGCTCGAGTACACAGAACCCCGTAGCTACATGATTCTATCCCCTAAAACCTCATTTCCTGATGCGACTCTTGTTCCTCTAACCCTGGTGGCTTTTTCCTGAGCACCTGCCTCTCATTTGCTATGAGAAATGGAGAGAATGCAGTGGGCTCTCCAGTGAGAGGCCTCAGTACTTCTGGGCCAGCCAGCCACCCCCCCACACATGGGGTGACATCACCCCTCCACCCTTGTGACCTGGAGCTGACAATGCTCCCAGATGCCCTAAAACCTGCCAGGGTGACCCACCGTCCCAGGCCCAGCCCCAGCCTCACGATTCTGGAGAGTCGGGGGATCCGGGAAGCCCAGGAGCCAAAGGCAGTGATGCCACCCAGCAGGTAGCCAAACATTTCAGTGTTATCCTGTGGAAACAGGTGATACACTCAGCACCCTGAGGAGGCCACCATGCATCCCAGTCCCATCCTTTCCTGCTTTCAGTGGGTTCCTCCCAACAAAGGCTAACCCTGTCCACCGCCACCCCCAAGGCATCTGTTGAGACCCTGAGGCGAGAAGGGACCGTCACTCCCCCCATGTGCCCCCAGCTGGCTCAGCCTCACCTGCATCAGGCTTCCCAGCAGCCTCCGCTGGGGCCCCTGGACAAGGTCTGAAGCCTTGGGGACAGCAGCCCAGAGAGCCCAGCAGGGGCCCAGGCTCAGGGTCAGGGTCAGAGCAAATATGCTGGCGCTGAGCCGCTGCCTCCTTGTCCTCTCCTGGGAGCCTTGACCTGCAACAGACCAAAATCCCATATGGTTCCTGGGAACATGGCAGGCTGGTGTTGACCCAACCCCGATGCCAGGACAGATTCCCATCCCCACGCTGTTCTCCTGGCCAGATCCTCCCGACCCTTCAAGGCTCTATGGCTGTGCCACCTCTATGAAGAAGTCTTTCCTCTCCACCATGCCCCCCCCC